GGAAGAAAAAAAAGGAAGAGGAAGAAAAGGAAATGGAAAAAGAAGACAGGAAAGAGGAGAAGTAGGTGGATGAAGAATAACGAAATGACAAAACAAAGGGAGAGGGTGGGTAGGAAGAATTAAGGAGAAAAAAAAGAGGAAGAGGAAGAGGACGAGAGAGAGAGGGAGAGAGAAAGAGAGAGAGAGAGAGAGAGAGAGAGAGAGAGAGAGAGAGAGAGAGAGAGAGAGAGAAAATAATGTCACGGAAAAAAATTTCCTCTTGAAATCCTTCCATTTGAGAGTTGATATTTTTTTCCTCCTCCTTCCTTCCTCCTTCCTCTTCTTCCTTCTCCTCCTCCTTCCTCTGTCCTCTTCTACCCTCTCCCTCCCTCCTCTCTCCCCTTCTTTCTTCCTCCTCCCCTCCTCCCTCCCCCCATCCCTCCACCTCCCCTCTCCCCTCCTCTCCCCCCCCTCCTCTCCCTCTAGCCTCGCGTGTTGCAAGTCCCGTCGTTGCAAGCGTGCAGAGGACATGCAACAACAGGATAGACCTGTCCTTTGCTGGCGCCACGCGTCTCTCTCGTCCTTTCTCTGTGACCTGATTCGCTTCTCGTCGATTCTCTTCTGATTCTCTTCTCTGTCTGTCTGTCTCACTGTCTGTCTCTTTCTCTTTCGAACGAAGGAGAGAAAGGACAAAGAGAGAGAAAAAGAAGACTCATTCACCCCCCCCCCTCCCCACGCCTACATGCACACCTGCACCTCCTCCTTTACCTCTCTTCCACCTCCTTTTTCCTCTTCCTCTTCCCTTTCCTCCCTCCTCCTCCAACCTACCTCCCCGTACACCTGCACCTCCTCCTCCCTCTTTCTTCTCCTCCTCCTTCTTTCTTCTCCTCCTCCTTTCCTCCTCTTCCACCTCCTCCTCCCTCCTACCTCCCCTCCCTCTATCTCCTCCTCCTCCTTCCCTCCTATTCCACCTCCTTTCCCCCTCCCCCTCCACCTCCTCCTCCCTCCTCCACCCCGCGCCTCCTCCTCCTCCCTCCTCCTCCCTCCCCTCCCTCTTTCTCCTCCTCCCTCCTACCTCCCCTCCCTCTATCTCCTCCTCCTCCTTCCTCCTATTCCACCTCCTTTCCCCTCCCCCTCCCTCCTCCACCCGCGCCTCCTCCTTCTCCCTCCTCCTCCCTCCCCTCCCTCTTTCTCCTCCTCCTTCCTCCTACCTCCCCTCCCTCTATCTCCTCCTCCTCCTTCCCTCCTTTCCACCTCTCTTCTCTCTCTTTCTTCCCTCCTTTCCACCTCCTTCCTCCACCCGCGCCTCCTCCTCCTTCCGAAAACCTCCCTCCGGCTATAAATTCCAGAACTCACGAGCGGCGGGATCATCGGCGTCGGCGGCAAGAGGCAAAAGAGCCTCGAAACCCCTGAGGGAAGGTTTCAAATCCTTTAAACAAAGGGATTTTCGGGGTGGTTGTCCTCCCTCCCTTCCGAGCGGCCTTGAGGGCGGATCTGAACCAAGCGTGCCCGGGAGTTTACGGTGTTTATTGGTGGTATCGCGGCTAATGCTTTATGTTTTTTTTTCTTTCTCTTTTTTCTCTCTCTCTATTATCGTTGTTTGTTGGAAATGGAGATGATTAAGATTCCCCCCCTCTCTCTCTTTCTTCTCTTCTCTTTTTTTCTCTCATCCCCCTCTCTCTTTGTCTCTGCCTCTCTCTCTCTCTCTGCATCTCCCTCTCACTCTTTTATTGCCTCTTTATCTCATTTTCTCTTCCTCTCTAATAGTCCCGGTTAATCAATATCTTCCGCTTTCCAGTGGTCTTATCCTTTTCCCCCCAAGAAGCGTTTCTGAAAGCGTCCTATGCTCTGGTGGGCGGATTTGAACGAAACACAAAGAATGTTGAAGCAGTACAGAGTCGATATTATGCGAGGTCCAATATACTCTTTTTTTTTTTTTTTTTCGTTTTTTTTTTTAGTTATTTGGTGTTATTCTCTCGTTTTGTTTACCAAATTTGTTTGTGGTTGATTAGTCTCCCGCCTTTCTATATTCCTCCCTCTCCTCCCATTTCTCCTCGTTAATGTCTTGATTGATCTTCCTTTTCTTTTGTCTCTCTCCGTCTCTTTTTTTCTTCTCTTTGTCTTTTCTTTTCTCTCCCCTCTCATCTCTCTCCCGCCCTCTTTCCCTCTCTCTCTCTCTCTCTCCCTTCCCTCCTCTCTTTGTCTCTGCCTCTCTCTCTCTCTCTCCCTCTCTCTCTTTTATTCCTCTTTATCTCATTTTCTTCCTCTCTATGATTCCCTGTTAATCATATTCTCGCTTTCATGTCATTATCCTTCCCCAAAGCGTTCGAAAGCGTCCTTGGCGGATGTGAACGAAGAATGTTGAGCAGTTACAGAGTCGATATTTATGGCGGAGGTCCAATATACTCTTTTTTTTCGTTTTTTTTCTAGTTATTTGGTGTTATTCTCTCGTTTGTTTACTTTTGTTTGTGGTTATTATTCTCCGTCGTTAATGTCTTTATTGATCTTCCTTTCTTTTGTCTCTCTCTCTCTTTTCTTTCTTTCTTTCTTTCTCTCTCTCCCTCCCTCTTTCCCTCTCTCTCTCTCTCTCTCCTTCCCTCCCTCCCTCTCTCTCTCCCTCCTTCCTTCCCCCCCTCCCTTCCTCCCTACCCCCCCATCTCTCTCCCCCCCTCTCTCTTTCTTGTTGTTGCTTCCATATTAATGTCTTGTTTTCGGTCTGTCGCAGGCGGTTACGTGTGTGGCATTTGGGTATCGTTTCCGGTATAAACAGGTAAAAGAGATGTTGGTATTTGCAAAAGATCAAAGGATACACACATGCACACACACACACACACGCACGTATAGACATACAGACGCACATGCAGACAAAGACAGAGATACATATACACGCACAGAGACACACACACACACACACACACAGATACATATACGCGAAAAGAGATACACACACGCACACGCGAACGAACGCACAAGCAAACAAACAAAACACACTAATACAATCCCCAATCCCAATATTTCCACAATAAAAATCCAATAAAACGTAGAAAGAGGGAAACTCAAAACAGGAGAGTTGCCAAAGACTGCAATACACAATATCTCTTCAAAGTGTGTTGTAAACGGATTGAAATGTGTTGGATGGGAAATGACATACTTTACTTCCACATTTTAAGAGATCGAGAATGTATATTCGCATTTTCGTTCAATTTTGTTAAAATCAGAGGAGAGAAAATGCATGATAAAATAGTACGTAAATATTAATATTTTAATCATTCAGGATGTAAGTAAATAGCCAAAAATTATAAAGAATGAGAGAGAGAGAGAGAGAGAGAGAGAGAGAGAGAGAGAGAGAGAGAGAGAGAGAGAGAGAGAGAGAGAGAGAGAACAGATAAACAGAAAAAGATAAAGACAGACAGACAATAAAAAAAAAAAAAAAAAAATGAACGATAAAAAAAAGAAGACGAAAAAAAGGCTTCGACATTCAACCCCCCCAAAAAAAATTATCCGAATTCTACAAATAAATTTCCCGGAATGACATCATAATTAAATCGTCAGTTCCAACGGCTAATTCCGAACGACGGATTTAAATATGCAAAGGTCTAAACATATGATAATGACTCGTTGCATGTTGCTCGGTTTTAACATTTGTTAAACGTGTTGTTGCGAGTCACACCGGGCGAGGGAGGGAGGGAGGGAGGGAGGGAAAGGAGGGAAGGGAGAGGGAGGGAAGGAGGGAGGGAAAGGAGGGAAGGGAGAGGGAGGGAAGGAGGGAGGAGGGAGGGAGGGAAGGAGGAAGGAGGGAGGGAGGGAAAGGAGGAGGGAGGGAGGAAGGGAAAGGTGGGAGGGAGGAGGGAGGGTGGGAAGGAGGGAAGGAAGGAAAGTAGGGATGGGAGGGAGGAGGAGAAAAAGAGAGGGAGAGAAGGAAAGAAAAAGAGAAAAACAAAGAAAGAAAGAGAGAAAAAAGAAAAGAAAAAAGAGAAAGACAAACATCAGTAAAAAAAACACACACACACACTTAATAATCACACACACGAATAACCCTAAACCAAGCAACCAAGCAAGCCCCGTAACAGACCGACCGGCGTTACGTAACAGCATCACGTCTAAAGTCACCGTAAATGCTCTTTCCTTAGCCCTGACCTCCCCCCAGGCAACGTGACGGCAGGGGTCAAAGTTCACGCAGGTTCAACGCAGGGTTCACGCACTCGCGAGACTGTAACGCGGTTCTCACAGCCACGACGATTTTTTTTTTTTTTTTTTTTTTTTTTTTTTTTTTTTTTTTTTTTACTGAGGGCGGTAAGGTTGGGAGGAGGAGGAGGGGGAGGGAGTGGGGGAAGGAGGGAGGGAGGGAGGTAGGGAAGGGGGAAGGGGGGAGGGGGGAGGGGGGGGGAGGGAGGGGGAAAGGAGGAAGGGGGGAAGGAGGGGGAGGAAGGGGGAAGGAGGGGGAGGAGGAATAGGGAGGGATGGAGGGAGGAGGAGGGGAGGATGGAAGGAGGGGGAGGGGGGAAGGAGGGTGGCTGAGGGAGGTGGGGGAAAGGGGGGGAGGTAGGAGGGTTTGAGTGAAGGAGGGGAAGGGGAAGGGGGAAGACGGGAGAGGGGGATGGAGGGAGAGGAGGGAGGAAGAAGAAGGGGCAAGGGAGGGAGGGAGGGAGAAGGACAAGGGAAGGGGTTGGATAATTTTGATGGATTTTGCTTCTATGCGCTCAGAGAGAGAGAGAGAGAGAGAGAGAGAGAGAGAGAGAGAGAGAGAGAGAGAGAGAGAGAGAGAGAGAGAAAAAAAAAAAAAAAAAAAAAAAAAAAATATATATATATATATATATATATATATATATATATATATATATATATATATATACATATATATATATATATGCACACACACTCTCTCTCTCTCTCTCTCTCTCACACACACACACTCAACCCCCCCCACACACACATTCACTCCCTTCCCCCCCCCCACACACACACAATTTCAAAATCTCCATAACCACGAAAGGGAGAGATAACGCTCGACAGGCACAGAG